TAATAATTGAAATGTTATAGCATGACTTTAATATCTAGCAAAACCACAGCCAAGGGAATGGGCTTTGAAAAATCAGCGAGAACAACGGTGATTTTTCCAAGCCCGTTCCCTTGGCTGTGGTTTTGCTAGATAGTAGGTAGGGACAGTGTGAATCTTGTTAATCCATTCATGCTCGTCACTAATTAGATGACGAGGCATTTGGCTACCTTAAGATAGTCATAGTTTTGAAAACATGAACATGTTGTTTAATATAAATGATATATTTAAAATGTCACAGTAGTTGCATTTCCTGGTTTATTGTTCGCAGACATGTGAAATGCCATGGAAGTTTGGATGCCATGTAATGTAGATATATATTTCAAAAGTCACAGCAAAAAAAGGAGGAGGAAAAATACACTTTGCCTTACTTTCATGTTATATTTCTTTTATTATAGATATTTACTTTGTTTGTACATTTGACCTAAGATTGCTTTGATACTGCATGTTAAAAGTGGAACAATGCTTCTTGCTGATGTAACTTGGGTGTGTCAGTATCTCAGAAACAGCAAAAGTATCCATGCTGTATAGAGAGTCACAAGCATTTTTTCACCAACTTTTTATGTAACCTGGCTTTGGAAACTGCTTTATCTCTCTCTCTCTCTCTTTTTGGCTTTATATGACTGTTAATTCTATCAGAATATTAGATTTATGGCCTCCTAATAGATATTTATTTTAATCCTAGAATTGCTTTTAGGTTTTCAAAACAATTTTTCTATTGTTTGTGGACCCATGATTTTGTGTTGGTTACAGAGTTTTTAATAACATTCAGGTGACAATAAAATGTAACCAAAAATGTCATCAGTATTGCAGTTAATCCCATTGATTACTGGTGAGATTACATATGTATCTTACCTGGAATAAAAGTAATTTCATCCAGTAATTTAGAGTTTGTGTTATAAAAGGCAAGCATATAAAATTACTTAATATGATGCAATGTAGAGATTTCATTGGTGGTGAAAGATATGTAAACAAGTCAATATTTTAAGGATTAAAACATCTTTGAAAAATAATTTTTTTAGAAATTTCTTTTTTTATTTAGGCTGCTGATGTAATATGCTGCACTTGTGTGGGTGCAGGAGATCCACGACTTGCACGCTTTAAGTTCCATTCCATTTTGATTGATGAAAGCATGCAAGCTACAGAACCTGAATGTATGGTTCCTGTTGTTCTTGGGGCAAAACAGGTGAGTAGGTGTAATAAAAAAATTAAAATAATAATGAAGTATCATTTGAATTACAATTTTTTACTTTTTACATTTATGGTTATTCATATTAGTTCATGAAAAATTACCAAGTGCTTAGCAAAAGTAGTTTAAAAAATAATTAAAGAAAATATGCAGTAAATGTATGATAAGTTTCTACAAACAGTGAGAATTTATACTTTTTTTCTTTATTCATTATATAATGTAGAAATTGTATCACCATGATGTTTTCTGATTGCAGTTAGTGCTGGTTGGAGACCATTGTCAACTGGGTCCTGTGGTTATGTGTAAAAAAGCAGCCCGAGCAGGATTTTCACAATCTCTTTTTGAACGTCTTGTGGTGCTAGGTATCCGTCCTCTGCGACTTGAAGTCCAGTATCGTATGCATCCACAATTAAGCAAGTTCCCTTCCAATTTTTTCTATGAGGGTTCACTTCAAAATGGAGTTTATGCTGGTAAATTAGTATTTGTAAATATTTTTCCTTGCATTAGCTAATAATACAAATATTTACATATTTTTCTTATCCAGAGTGTTTTAGTAGATGTATATTACTGAAAGAAGTATTCTGTGTTGTTTTTTTTTTACCATCATCAATCCCACAAGATGAGCGAAAAATGGAAGGAGTTGATTTTCCATGGCCTCAGCCAGACAAGCCTATGTTCTTTTATGCCTGTCAAGGACAAGAAGAGATAGCTGGGTCTGGTACATCCTATCTGAACAGGTAAGTTTTTCCTTTATAGTGTTTCATGTTTTTGAGAAGCTCTAAAAGGAATTGACAGTTTTATGAACATACACTTTTTTCCACATTTGATGATGGAGTATTGTAACAACTGTGCATGATTAGTTAAGGACTAAAATTTAGTAAGCCAAATGCTATTTGATTTATATTAGTTTGAACAAAATGTAAAATATCAATAATTCTTTTAGCAAAGTGGGATAGCATAAGATGCCATTTTATGAGTTTAAGGTTATGTTACTTCTATTAGCGTGTGTGAAACCTGACCTTTAGGTCAACAGTTACATACATATTGTATTATAGCATATTATACATACACTGAGTGGTCACAAGTAAATAGACACCTAATTTTTCGTCATTTAACTGATTTATGCTAACTAATTTGT